TAATAAGAGAGATGCCTCTCCAATCCAGTTTTTAATTTCTCTAGATTCCAATGCCTTCCACAAAGCTGATTGTGGGCATGGGAAATAGCAACTCGGTATGTGACAGTAAGGGTTTTCTTTTTTTTTAAAATGGGTAATGGAACTTGAATGTCCCCTATAGATTTATATTTTAACTTGATCCTCTGCATGGCCCTAATTGAGATGGTGGGACTTCTTGGAAATGGAGCCTTGTGAGATGCCCTTAGTCCTGGGGTTATTTTTGAAGAAGCTTTGGGTACCGCTGCCTCTACCTTTCTTTTTGCTTCCCTTTTCATGAAGTAAGCCACTTGCTGCACCAAATGTCACCTACCACTACTGTATAACATGTCCATCAGAGGGTCCACAGAAATGGGTCTATCTGATTACAGTGGTGCCTTCAAAACTGATCTTAAATGATCTTTTCTCTGTGTTTAAGTTAGTTGTCTTCTCTGTTGTAATTACAGTGATGATAAGATGAGAGTGGACAGTCTGAGCTCCTCTGGAGTTCTCCTGGTGCTGGAGCTCCCATGTAGGCTAATTCTTTGAACTTAAAGAGAAACTGAGGGAAGAAAGGATTCTGGAGACAGCAAAACAGGTTCTTACACGGGGGAATATTGCGTGCAGTACTGCCTTCTTACCTATTCTGTTAAGTTTAATGTCATGCTGAGCCCAGTCAGTTAGTTTAGGCCTACAATACTAGCAATCAAGAGGGTGAGGCAGTAGCATTTTAGGACTGCCTGGCTTACAAAGAACAACCCTTTCTCTATTTATCTCCATATCAAATTTTCAAAGACCCAGGGATGTGGTAGGGATTTTGTGTTTGTTTAGATAAACAGTTTCAGTGACAAACTCACTTGGGAAGTGTCTCTTTGAGGGATGGTCTACATTGGATGGTTCTTTGGGATTTGGGGTACCTTGATTGTTAATTGATGTAGTAAGATCCAGCCACTGTGGGCAACACCATTCCCTGGTTTGGGGACCTGGATTATATAAGACTAGGGAAAGTTAGCTAAGCACAAGCAAGCAAGCAAGCGTACATGTGCTTGTTTCTTCCTGCTATTGACTGTGAATGTGATGTGAACATGTTTGAAATTCCTTGATTTCCTCTCTACTAAGTGCTGAATCCTGAAATTGTGTGCAGAATAAAATCTTTCTGCACCGCATTGCTGTTTGTCAGGGCATTTGATCATGGCAACAAAAATGGATCTAGAATGGAGTATCTCCTTGGTTTACTTGTGAAATCCCACACTTAGTGTCTTCCTTGTTCCCTACTGGACATTCAGGAAATATGTCAAATCAATGGTGGAAGTCTGAGAAAATTCCCTCCCTTAAAGGATGTTGAAAGGACTTAAATTGTAAAGTGGTTTTCCATGTAATGTACTTTGTGGGCATAACAAAGGCATTCATTAATTGCAATTTCATTATGAACACTACAAAAATTAACAAAATATTTACTTTGTGAAATGGAAAATCACTTGTAAGAATGAATGCTGTCAATGGAAGCTTGCAAACAAAATTTCTTTGTCAGTTGTAAGACACATTATAAGCCACACTGTTTCTATATATGTGGAATTTGTGGTGTGTGTGTGTGTGTGTGTGTGTGTGTGTGTGTATGTGTGTGTGTGTGTGTATGTGTGGTACGAGTATATGTGTTGTATTTGGCATGTGTGTATGTGCTATGTGTATGGTATGTGTGGGGAGTTTATGTAGTCTGTGCTGTGTATGTGTGTGATGTGTTTGGTTAGTATGTGTTTGGTGTGTGTACATGTCATGTGTGTGGTGTGTGTATATGTTGTCTTAAGTAGTGTATTTTATGTATAGGGCATGA